CTTTTTTTTATACACCCTGTATACTGAATTTGTTTATTACAAACAATTTATAACGCTTAGAAAGCGAATTTATGCCTTTGTGCTCTTCGCCTTATTTTCTTTTGTCTTTCCTTATTTCATTTAGCACTTAGGTCTTAGCATTAAAATCTACATTGTATTTCAAGCATTAAAAGCGAACCAATTTCATCTCGATTGTTGTCCATCAGTTTCACTTTGCTATCATTTAAACCGGGTTTAGTTTGTAGACCTTTTGTTTGAATATGATTTAACTATAAGGTAATTGACACGGAGACATGGCATCAACAGTCGGCAACTGCCAACTATTGTCTATGTTTATATTGTATAGCATGGCGTTTTAAAAGAACGATGCTTTGCGTGCTATTTCATGGGTTAATTAAATGTACTTTGGCTGCCAAGAAGCATACTGCTATACTGTATACACAACATATGCATAATTTAATTTCTGCATGTGCATTGTTTAAGCATGCAACGCAACCAGGAGCAAGTCTGCAAGTCAGTAGAATCGTGCATTGGATTGAAGTATGTGCATTGAATATTTTTTATAATTGATCATGCTTTTGTAATGTTAGGCATGTGTCGACGCATTAAAAACAATGTCCTCAACTCTACAGGGTGTATTACGTGTATAAAAAACCCTGCAAACCTTTGACATATACAGTGTGTCCCCCGAAAAAGTACCCTCTATGCCTCTATAGAAATTATCCTATTGTTATAATTTGAATGCCTGAGCACTATGCTGCACAGTGGCGTAGCCTGACCTTCATTGGGAGGGGGGTGGCGAAGCGAACGCCGAAGGCGCGAGACCATCTAGGGGGTCCAGGGGAATGCACCCCCGGGAAAATTTTGAAATCTAGAGTCCCTGAAATGCGATTTCAAGCATTTTGGGGGTGAAATCTTGCAGAATTCCGAACATTATAAAGTACATCGAAGACATAAATTTTCCCAGACATTTCTAATTTTCTACTCGGAATTAAATAAATTGGAAAAGTCACCTTGAAAAAAGGAGGAGCCGGTCAGCGTCATTTTATTTCCCCTCTGTGATGCTGGGGGAAGAAAATCCCAATGTGATTTTGGTAATCATAACATCAAACAGGTGACCAACAAGAAAGTACTGGGAATTACTTTAGACGATGAACTGAGGTGGCATAAACACAATGATCTTCAATGCAAAAAATTATCCAAGAGCATTGCCTTACTAAGATGAGCCATGAAAACGATTTGTTAACCAAAACGTATTAATTAACATGTACAACTCACTTAGCTTACCTCACTTTACTTATTGCTCCAACGTGTGGAATGACGGCAGTCGTACACATACAGACAACTTTTAAAAATGCAAAAACGAGCTAGCGGCTCGAATTATCACGGGGTCAACTTACGAAGTAAGATCGAAAGATATATTTAATTATTTACACTGGGAACCAATTGAAACCACTCTTAAGAAAAGCCGGAGAAATGATAATGCCCTTTAAGGCCTTACAAGGACAACTGCCAGAATGTATGACCAATATCTTTAAAATTTGCCTAAATGATATGTATCCGTTAAGCAGTAATAACTGTAAACTTTATTTGGAAAAACCTAAAACAGACTTCTTGAAGAAATCGTTTTCATATCGAGGTGCTGCATCATGGAACAATCTTCCAAATGATGTTACCAACAACTATAAAGAGCTCTCCATAAGTAACTTCAAAACCTTAACCAACAACTGTTTCGCCAATTCGGAGAGGAATAGTGTGTGACAACCACTTGTGGGGCGGATTTTGATTCGAAGGAGTAATTTTAGGATCGTGACTAAAACACCACACGAGTACATACGAGTAACATACGAGTAACACACAAGTACATACGAGTACATACGAGTAACATACGAGTACATACGAGTAACACACGAGTAACATACAAGTACACACGAGTAACATACGAGTACACACGAGTAACATACGAGTAAATACGAGTACATACGAGTACATATGAGTAAAATACGAGTACATATGAGTAAAATACGAGTACATACGAGTAAAATACGAGAATTAGCACGCTTTCTTTAAAGTTTCTTTCACTTTCACACTTTCACTTTGGCTTCGTATTATGTTCATGTTGTAAATGCCTTATTGACATAGGCGTACAAGACAGGGGGGCGCGGGGGGGAGGCAACTGCCCCCCAAAATTTTGGAAAACCATGGAAATTCGGGCAAACGCTAGGAAAAATCAAGAAAATTCGAGCAGATTTATGAGAAAATATGTTAAAATCAGGTTATTTCTTTACAATTCTCCATAAAAATTCGGGCAAACTTTCAACTCCCCCCCCCCCTCCCCCCGCAGAAAACATCAGCCCCGTTCTCCTATGTGTTTTGCAAATTTAATACGTCAATTGTACACCTGTTAATACGTTTTCAACAGGGAAAGATAACATGCTTAGGGTTCATTATTTATCGGTTGGGGGGGGGGGCTGGTAAAATAATGGGGGGATATTTTTTATGGGTGTAAAATAAAAAGAATGGTTTTGGGGAGACAATAAAATTTTATAGCATTGATAAAAAGAAGATAGTAGAG